GCCCTCGCTGTGTGTTTGTGCTCGGCACAAAGCATCTCCACCAGGTTTTGCCTGTGCCTCGAGCTGAGTGCTGCCTTGGTGGCACACAGGAATAAACCTCCCCTTGCCCACAGCCATTCCAAGGGGAACAAGATGAGCTTTTGTTATGAACCCAGCTTAGTTCCTGAAGGATTGAGTTTGCCAGCACTAAGTCTTGCCTACTTGCTGAGAACAGTTGTTTAAATACCAGAGTGACTTGTTGCTCACAATTTTACCAATCAGCTGGCTCAAGAATGGGCAGATCCACATCTCCCAGCAGTGTGAAGGCATGCAACACAAACTGCTGGCTGACACACGCAGTAAAAATATAGTTATTTTCCTTTCTTTAGGGAATGTATCGTTCTCAATCCAGTTTTAGGATTACACTCTAATCTCAGTCTCTGAGCAGTCTGTGCCCACATATCTAGGATTAGAATTTAGCCCCACAGCCTCTCCAATGGCACCTTACTCCAATTAAGAAGACATATTTTATGCTCCTGTATGACATAATGCTAACATAGGTGCTTTTGTCCTTTCCAAAAGTTATTTATTTTGCTGACTGTGTGTTCTGGAACAATTAAAATCTCCAGTTTTATGACCCTTAGTATAGAATCAGAGCAAGAACCCTTGATCCTATAACTAATAACATTAAGACTATTAATAATATTGGAATATTAATCTATTTTTTAAAACAGCACCTGATTTCTCAAGCAATCAGGTCAGCTATTTCTAAAAGGGAAGCAAATGGAAATGCAAATGAGATTATGTATGTCTTCATTCATATGTTTCACTCATAAACATGAATACATGTTCATATTGCATGTTAGACTGATTTAGCTGACACAAATTTACCTGAGCATTTCAAACAATACTCAGCTTCTTCCAGTCTGTGGAGATGCTGCTGTAGTCCACTAAACATTGGCTTTAAAGAATGCTAATTCCATGTGTTTGATATCAATAAAAGCAGTATTTCTAAATGAAATCTCAATGCATTGAATTAAAAAAACAAGTCTTCAAGAAGTCTACAAGTCCATATGACTAAACTGTATTTTGCCAATGCAATTGATGACACACCTAGACTGCTATACACATTTTGAAACTGTTGCATGATTAGATTTACAAATGCTTCTGGTTCATGAAGTTCATGTCTTGCCACTTCTCATCTAATAAATTGAGACAGAATTAGTCCTGGGTGAGTGGTTCTGCCTGCTGCCAAGAAGGGTTTGCTAAGGGTAAGACTCTAAAGGTAGAGATTAACTTGTCTTCATCCCTGTAATGTGCTGTACAGCCAGGATTTGTGCAATAGGATCAGAGCAGAGCCATATATGAATCTAACACTGGACAGCTGGTGTGTATGAATTTATATGAACCCTGATGCCAGATTTTGAGCTACTCTCAAATCCCAGCTAATAAATGTATCAGAAGTCTACTTTCCCTGTTCCCTGACAGATCTTCCTCAGCTGCTGTGGTTTCTAATATGTGAGTTGTTATGAAAATAGTATGAACCTAAACTACCCTAAATTTGACCTGCAGGTCAGAACCCCAACTAAGTAACTGGAAAAGATATTTTTCCAAATGAAATAACATGGATTAGTCAGGTTCCTCCTGACAGAGAGTTACATACTAATTTTTATATTAGGTTATTAAGCTATTTATCCCACCTGATCATTTCAATACTTCACTAACAGGAAATTCAGGGAAATAAAGAAGTAATTTAATACAGATAACACACACATACAAAACATGTCCTTTAAATTAAGTTTGAACCATACAGATATTTTGCCATTCAACTTGTAGAAGGAGATTAGAATTCTGGTGGAAATAACAGTTTTATATCACAAATACCAGAGTTATTTTTATGTATCTGAGAAGAAATTCAAGTTAGATAGAATTGATTGGCACACCAATGAAAAAAACCAGAATGATTTCATGAAGTAATTCCAGTGAAAACCTCAATAAGGAATCAAACCTTCTTTTTGGCTTATGATGATTCAAAAACTGGGTCAGTGGAAGCAGTAAGCTACAGCTTTAGTGGAAGAAGATACAAAAAAACTTTTAAATCATATTATTCCATGAGTTTTTCGATATTATATCTTCTCCATGTGAAACTAAAAGACCACATTGACTACCTTTGCAAGGATAAGTTCTTTATCTGATGCACATTGTCTGAAATGGTGGTCTGTGAATCTTGGTCATCTGGTGGATAATAATTATCAGTAAATATGGATCATTTTGCTATGGATGCTGCTGTAATCAGTACCCCACATTCTGGGAAAATGCAAGCATTTAAAATAAAACCTCATATTTAAATAGAAGTTTCAAAGAAAGGTCTTAGAAACTACAATTTCTAAACTACAGTTTCTGTTTCATCTCTGAAAGGAGGCAGTGTGAGACTGCCTGTCAACAGCCACTCTATCATCCTTCATATCCAACACAAAATCCAGACTTATTTTTGGAACTGCACAGACTACACAGAGAACACCACAGTGATACTGGTGCTACTGGTTTCTAACCACTTACTGCTGCTTGCTTTTGGATAGATGTCTGTCAGAACGGGCAGGGTATATGGGATCCCCCAGGAGGGTTTTGGGCCAGGACAGATGGCTCTTTTCCCACCAGGTTTTCCATGATTCTACAATTTGAAGTTGCATTGTATAATTTTAGTTCCTGGTGTGATTTTAGGGGGAAGTGTAGAAGTTATAGGAAGGCCTGATGAAGAAAGTGTCTTTTACTTGTGTGTCTTTTTCCCACACAGGGACATTTCTCCAGAAAAAAAAGCACATTCACAACTTTGATTTAAACAGGAGACTGACAAATTCTAGCAGTTCCTAAAATGCAAAAGTGGTACAACTTGTCAGTCATCTGAGAGACAAGAACATGTCAGTATTAAAACTCGCTATTAATTTTATTTTTTCCCTGATTTACTAGAATAAGAAGGTTAAAACTTCCTGGATTTTTTTTTCCATTATGGCTATCTGAACCTCTGTTGGTTTCTTTGCACCTTCATATGACAGAATCACAGAACAGTTTGGAATGGAAGAGACCTTTAAGGCCATCTAGTCCAATACCCCTGCAATAAGCAATGACATCTTCAGGTAGACCAGGTTTCTCCAGTCAGGTGCACCAAAGGCCAGGCTGTAAGAAGGGCTGCATGAAGTTTAACATTTCCATTCATTTTGCAGAGTATTCAATACAGAGCCTCTATCCAAGAAAGAAAAAACACCTAAATGGCTCACTGAACAATATGGTATGGCAAATACCATCATCCCAGTTACCACCTATTTTTTGAGCTGCTGAAGTTTAGTCTAGCACTAAATCGCTTTAGTACTGAGCTTTAAAATGCTTTAGCAGCTCAGAAGCACTTTGGCAGCTCAAATGCTCTTCATGAGGCACCCAGTATCCTAAATCGCTTTAAGTCTAAAGTATCCTAAAAAAAAGGCAAATGGAAACATGTCCAGCAGCACATGTTCAGATACAAATGTCAAGAACAAAGGCCATGGTGCTGGTCTGGGATCTGACAGATTTGTCTGCAGCCAGAAAGACCTGAATCTTGGCCAACACAGAATCCAACATTACAACACTACATTAATCTACACTTACAAATGTAAAGCACTTTTTATTTTGAGGGAACACCAGTGGTATGGTCTAACTTTGGCCACTACTTTCATTGTAAATGGCTGAAATGACTCGCTTGTTTACCTTTTGGTAAGCTCATTTTGAGACCAAGTATCTCCCTCATACCAAAGAAATGGTAAATGCCTTAGGCACGTGAACTAGATTGATACATATCACTTAAATTATTTTAAACTCATCAATAGGTCAAAGGCAATAAAAGAAGTTATAATGATAAATCTAATTTAGAAATAGCTTGGGCAACAAAACACAGGATTTCACTTTTATATCCTTTTTGGATAGGAACAGTGCTCCTGTCTTTGCATTTCCCTCACTGTTACCTCTACCAAATGCTAGCTGAACTTTTGGAGCTGTAATTCTCTATCTTCAGGATGAGAACAATTCAGCATTACATTTTTCTTTTTTCAGAAGACAGAAAGAATCCACCAGAGCTAAATGGGGATGGAAATTCAACTCCTTACTTAAAAAAAAATTAAGATCTAATCATTTGCTCTGCAAGTCTAATGTGAGATGAACGTACAGATGCTCCTGCTGCTGCCTTCGGAGCCAGCCTGCTCCCTCTGCCAGCTCCTCAACTCAAAGCATTTCATACAGGATAGCTTTTTGACATCCAGGCTCTGGGTTACAGGACTTGTTTTCTTTACAATTATTAATTATGTATGTATTAATTACATATATCAATTTATAATTAATCTGAGTCTTACTGGTTTCATCACTGGTTTCATCACTGGTTTCATCACTGGTTTCATCACTGGTTTCATCACTGGTTTCATCACTGGTTTCATCACTGGTTTCATCACTACAAAACATATTCTTTTACTTTTTTTACTTCAATTTGGCAGCCTTAAGGGGCTGATGTTATTTGGAAGAAATAATTTCTACCATTTCTTTTCATCTGCTTCACTTAGTTTACAGTAGACACAGCTCCAAACTATTACAATTCTGAAATTAAACCAAAGACATCTGCCTTCATAAATATGAGCACATCACTGCTCTCAGACACACCAGGGGCTGAAGGCAAAGACTTGGGCTTAATTACCTCCTTTGGAGTAGGTGTTATTTTCCAGCATCCTGATTTTCCTTGCACTGTAGGATCCAAGGACACTGAACAACTCAGTGTAAGCAAGGGCAATGTTTGCATTGTCCTGAAAATGAGAAGGTTCTACATGGAAAACACTACAACCCACAAGCACGGAAGGATCCAGCTGTGGCTGGCAGGACCACCTGCTTAGCTGGGAAACAACCTGAATAACCTTCTCTGTTTCTCACTGGTGATTGTCTTATTCCTCTCTTTGGTGCTGCTGTTTCAGCTCTTCACCTCAGCAGAGTTGTTGCTGTCTCCCTGCAGCATGACTCCCCGGGAGCACATGAGGAAGATGTCCATCCTGGGTGAACAGGGAACACTGGAGGAAAAGCACCTGTACCGGCTGGCAGGCGGCATGGCAGCAGGAGGTGAGCAGCAAGTAACCCCACTGCACAAGTGGTTATAGCATTGCTGGCACCTACAACCTACAAGAATCAGCCAGTAGCAGATTTGATGTCTTTAAATGGTATTTCAAATTTATCTTAGGAGTAACTGCAGAAACATTTTGCTTAGGGTAATTAAAAATTAACACAGAGGGCTCTTGGAATTCAGTATTGATTAAGAGATGCTGAGCATCTGGAAGACAAGTAAATGTCACACAAGAACAAAAGCCACAGCTGGACCTTATGAAGTTTTGGCTCACCATTGTGAGCTGCTTTTTCATGACAATGCAGGTTCCACCTAGCATGATTTTTCTCAAAATGGAACTGTATTAGAAATTAAAACCCTCTCAAGCAGAGAACTAAACATCCATGGCTATCTTCTGTTTCATAATGTTACATAAATTATTATTCATTGTAATTTGTCCTTTGATACACTTGACTGAGTGCATCCTATTTATTTTTACTGCAGTTTGATTGAATAAATCTACATTATTTAAACAAAGTAGTTCAGGTGGCAGTGAAAACATGTTTTCAGTTGCTGCTATTTAAAAAAAGGTGTGATTTGCTCTAGAGGAAATAAAACAACACATTTTTTTCTGGTGAGGTTATACTGCAGCCAGAATCACCTCCTAACTTACTCGTCTAATAGCAGAGCTGTGTATGCTTTGTGCCAGAACTGCGGCAGCGGCAGGAGATGCTAATGAGGAACCAGCTGATGGCAGTAAACCCGCAGCTGATGGGGCCGGCCCAGCAGAGGATGCAGGCGATCCCCGCCCAGTTTGAGCCGCGACTGGTGGACAGGTACCGGGTATTTTCTGTTCCAGCACTGCAGTTAATCACTCTGTGTATGCTGTCCATGAGGCTGTAAAGACCTTTGGTAATTCTTAACTAAATAATATCATCTGCATATCTGAATGTGGTATTTTTCTTTTTCCTCTCAGAGATCTGTTACCTTCAAGTGAAATGATGGCCTCAGCTGACCCCAGACAAATCCACATAGCATCCCACCTGGGACCCACAGTACCACAGCACCCCAACATGCCAAACCTGCTGTCCAACCGTGTCTACCCTGGCCCAGGTAACAAAGCACCCTCTGCATCCTGAAAAGTGGGACAGTGTGGATGAGAAAGCCAACTGCACCTGCTCATTTTCCATAGGTTTATTGGTAGTGTCAATAACAGTTTATTTTCTTTTATTTAGAAAAAAGGCTCACTAAAAGGAGGAAACCTGATCACCAGAGATTCTAAACTGTGCCAGTTTAGGTCTAAGCATGTCCATTCTAGCTTTTGTTAAATACAGTTCTCAGAGTCTTTTATGTGTTTTTTGTTCCCTCCTTTTCTTTCTGTATTTTCCAAGAATTTTCACACCCAAACAAAAGACTATAGCTAAAAATAGCTCCTCTACAACACTTTTACATTACATTTTACTCTTCCTCTTATATGAGCATTGGCTGCTTTACACTGATCATATTCTTTAATGTTAATATTACCACTGTAATGATAATATTACCACTAATAATAATGCCACTTAATTCATGTAGGGCAAATACAAGTCCTTTTAATACAGGCTCAAAATTACAGAGCACAGCTCCAAGGGGAAGGCTAGACATGGACATCACAATGGCACTCCTGTCATGCTGCACAAAAATTTACATATTACTTTATATAAAGTGAGCTTAAGAGTCTTTCTCTGAGACGAGTGAATGTATTTTCAATGCCACATCAATACACCAAGAAAAAAAATCTGATTTCAGCTCCTTTCCCTGACTTTACATGGATCTCAAATAGGAGAGTCCCTCAAGAAGAAATGTAATTTAAAATTACACAGCCTCCAGGCTGAAAGCAGTCTTGAAGAAGCAGGTTTGCTTTGCTCGACCGATGGCTATTATTTTCTGAGTAGTTATGTGTACTTCAAAGGCATAAGTCACCAAATAAAACCACCCTGCAGTCTCCTTCCTTTGTGGTTAATGGCAGGTATTCCTAACTACAGATCTGATCCTGAAAACACCTGATGACAGACTTCATGTTCTTTCTACATATTTCCACCAAAACAATGGCAACAAATAGGATTTAACTTGAAATCCTATCACCTTCCTGGTGAAGCCCACAGTCAAAGATGTACAAAGTTTTTTAAAGTGTCTCTGCATTGCTTTGGGGGTTGAGTATTTGCATGATGAAAAAGTGAATTTTAAAGATCATTTTTTTCCCCCCTTCCCTCTAAGGATACAGCTTTCTACAACCAGAATCCATGGAAGCTGTGGCCAGAAGACAAGAACTGGTACAAAAGCAAAATATTGCCAGGTAATCAATAGCAAACTGCCTTGAGGTGTGTGCCAGGATTAAAGCAGCAAAGTGATCGAGATTGTTTTTCAAGTGACCCAGAGCAGCAGAGGGCCCTTGAGTATCAATTAAGGCCTGAAGCTACTGACTTTCTGCTTGCCCTATTTTGCTTTTACTCTTAAAATGATGTAACAAAAATAAACAAACTCCTTAGCTTAGTTAAGGAAAAGAACAAGCTATAGCACAGCCCTTGAACTGTGGATCCAAACACCCTGAAATTACAAAAGTTCAGAAACAAATTCAAACTTTTCAGCTGTGTGATATCACACACAACACTTTAAGCCTGCAGCTGGGCCCTTGGGGATGAATGGCTGTGTCTCCACCCTACCAGGATGGGCAGCTTTCCTAGATTGACCGAAGAGTTGGAATATCAGAGTGACTGTAGAAAGTCCAGTTACTTGTAGCAGTTTCAGTGTAGTCAGTAGTGGTTAAGAAACCACCCTCCCTCACAGTCACACCATTTCCACGGAGGAACTGTAACCTCAGCCACTCCTACACTGGGCTGCTCAGTGGTAGTGCCCCTCACAGTGAGACTAAGAGCTAAGAACTGTTAAATTCTGTATATTCATCTAAAAAGAATCAGGATGGAAGTGTTCTGAGCTCTTAAGTCAGCAAAGCTTCATTACTGAACTCCTCCAAGCATGAGATTTGCATCAGCAACACATTTCCTATAGCTCTTGCAACATTGCAAAAACCCTGAGAAAAGCAAGTGAAATAATTAGCAGCAAACACGGCCATCTCATACACCTACAGCCACAACAGAACTGCTCCTACGTGTTCAGGCTCTTCCCCCAGCCCATCAAACAGGAAAACTCCAACATGAAATAGCTCACCTACACCTTAAAAACCTTTTACCCCAGTTTTTTGCCACCCTGGCAATTTCCACTGTGTCCACACAGCTTTCTGCAGCTCAGGTCACCTTTAGGGCTGCACTTGCTCCTTTCAGCTTGTCCAGAAATCAGACGTTGACAACCTCCTGCACTTGGTGCAGCTGTGCTGCTGAGCACCTGGGCTCAAATCCTTGTTCTTCAAGGGACTCTGCCTCATCCCAAAGCTCTGTTTGCTGATCCTGACAGGAATAGAATATCTCAGCTGGAGGAGGAGGCAGGAATGTAATGCTTTCTGCTGTTTATCAGCACTTCAAGTGCTGGGTGGGAGTAATGATAATCAGGCAAAATGTACAAGGACATGGGACATAGACAAAATACTTCCTTTGTATCTCTGAAAGCAGAAAATCAGAAAGTTGGAGGTTGTTTCAAAAATGAAAAGAAGGTAGAGAAAAAGCCCTGAATGGTGTGATCAAATAATTCCTCCTCATGCCAAAAAATCTGCGTAAGATAGCTTTCACTCAAACTGTTTTCCTAACAATTTTACACTCTCCTGAAGATCAGACTCTCTGTGACCTGTTATACTCATTGCAGTGTTAAGAAAGCTATCTTGATGCACTTTAAAGTGCTTTACTTCACAGGCTCTTTCCCAAAGATGCAGAAATCCCTCTGACAGCTCCTCAAAGCTCCTCTAGGAGCTCCACCTTTCTGTTTGATTGCTGACCTGGCTCCAGAGAAAGCTGATGCCAGCAAAGGCTGGCACAGCAGAGACAAACACTATTACTTGTATTCTCTGTATCCCACTGGCAAGCCCTCCCATCCACTATGTCAGGAGCAGGAAGCTGGCACAGACTCTGGAGCATTCATCCAGAAGGAAGGAGATCAGTTGAACACTTCCCACCAGGATCTTACCCTTTCACACTCTCAGAACCATGCTCAGGTGCCAGGCACTGTGGAGGAACTCAAGAGGTCTAACATTAGCTTACTCTGACTAGATGCAAATGTTCCATAGATAATATTATTCTTGTTCTTTATCATTTACAATATCACTGGAATTTTGCAGGTTTTGGTACAAGTTTCTGAGTGATAATATAAATCAGTTATTTTCTTTAGTCTTCAATCCTTAAGACTCTGGAGACTCTTTTCCAAATGTGAATATAGTCCCCATGGCTGGATTGCCAATATGCAAATAACACTTTTTTTGTATGAGGTATTATCCAGAGCCATCACATGGAAGATATGTTTTCCCTTTCTTTTAGCTTGCTATCTGTATCTGACAGCACATTAAATACAGCCATGTTTGCCATTCCATCTTCAGCTTGTACCCTCTGACACATAGCAATGTAGGGGAGAGACAAAACAAGCAGTACTCTTGCCTATTCATTTATCTGAGTTTTATTCTGCTGCTGAAAAAAAAAAAAGGTGATGAAGGAACCGAGGTGCCCTAACTGCTCATGCTCTGTGTGTCTCTTAGAATGGAAATGGAGATGAGTGCTATTTTTCAGCAAAAGGAAATGGAGAAAGCCCATCGGAAAGGACTCCTGGGCCTGGAAGCCCCTTTCCTTTACCATGGGATGCCAGCCAGTCCCATTGCTTTCCGTGGCAGGCACAGACTCCCTGAAGGGCACCTTGCCAACGACCTGTATGTCCATCGTACCACCCTGGATGAAATCCATGGCAACACCATGCTCATGGCAAGCAGCCCGTACCCGCCAGTCACCACACTGCAGAGGGAGAGGGGACGGCGCCCAGGGAGAAGAGCTGGAAATCACAAAACTGCCGAGGGCAGTGCCAATGGCACAAAGAACCAGACAGATGACAAATCCACGGACTCTGCCTCAGCTGCAGTGGATGATGAGAAAGAAGACAAGAAAGAAGTAGAGGTGGAGACACCAAACAAACATGAGCAGAGCAAAAACCAGACTGAGCCATCTGCAGTTGCCAAGAACTGCAAAGAGTTTGAACAAGGCTTGAGAAAAAACTGTGCTTCTCATGAAATTCCTACTGAAACCACCAGCTGCAGCAACACAAATGAGAAGGAAGCCAACAGCTCCTGTGCTGCATTTGATGACAAGTACCTGTACCCTTCTGCAATCCCATTCTCAGCGTTACCATATGGATTTCCAGTGCCCAACAACCCATTGCTACCTTCAGGTTTGAGTGGCATATTTATATAATCTGGTTTTATTGATTGGTGTCCTGATTCTTTCCTCTGTTTTAAGTGACTTTTTGGTATAGTAGAGTCACTGCAACTAAAAGTAGAATTCTAATGCTGAAAATACTAATATCTATATTCTTGTTTTAAAAAGGAATTTCAATTAAAATAAAATTGCTGAATGAAGTTGTGAGTTAGCCTCTCTCTTCAGCCCACAACTTTTCTAAATGTCCTAACTCACAGTAGGCACTATGGACTAGCAAACGCTTGGGTCTGTTCTACTGAAATATTAGTCAAATTAAAGTAACAGCAAAGTCTAAATAAGGAAAAGCACTGAATAATGCACTCATTAGAGGAAGTCCTGCAGCATGATTTGTATGTGTAGTGACTGGCAGGTACAGAGCCAACAGTAAACAAAAGAAACCACAAAAAAAACCCGTTCAGAACCAGGTTCTGCTATTACCTGGTGATTTTGTGTCTAGGACTCCTGTATCTGCAAGTGACTACACCCTGCTGTTAATACATTAGGTTCTGTAAAGGTGTAAAAATTCTCATGACAACAATAATTTCCTCTTGATTTGCCAGCAAAATTCTACCAAGATAACCTCTGTGTTTCCTCCTCAAAGGAGCTCATGGCCTGATCCTGAATGGAGAAGACATTTCTTCCATTGAAGACATTCGCAAGTGGACAGTTGATGATGTGCACAACTTCATTGTCAGCCTCCCAGGCTGCTCAGATTATGGCCAGGTGATTATAAACATTCACCACATTTTCAGGTCTCTAGGACCATCTAGATTTAAATGTCAGCAAACAAATGTAAATGTGGGAGGGCAGTTGATTGTCCCAAAATTACAAGTACAATAGTAGTTTTCTTTGTGCAGTTAGGAGATAAATACAAAGATAAGCCAGTAAAATTATTTCCGCTTTTTATTGTTTATGCCTCAGGGTTAAGCATGAAAAATAACAATCAAAGTCTATTTTAGCACACTATGCTGTGTTTTATCATTTCATCAGATATTTAAAGACCATGCTATTGATGGAGAAACCCTTCCACTGCTAACAGAGGAACATCTCCTGGATACAATGGGATTAAAACTTGGACCAGCATTAAAAATCCGCTCTCAGGTATGATCATTAAATGTATGCCAAGATGGTGACTCACAGAGACATGAAAGTGCCAGAAGATGAGAGGAGGGAAATTTTCCAAACTAAAAAGCACTTTTTGTTTTCCAAACAAAAAAGCACTTTTTTTTTCACTGGTAAGGTAACTGCGACAATACCGGGAGAAAATGAATTACTCCAACAGAGTTTTCTTTTGCTTCCCTGTATGTTACCATGGCACACAGGGAGACAGCAAGAAATATGACCGAACATTTTTTCAGGAACAGACTGTCCCCCTCTGCAGTTTTCTGTCCTTAATTTCATCCACTAATATCAACTCTCTGTGTGTTTCTGTTGTTGCTGGTTCTTTTCCTTTTCTTTAACCCCTTGTACTCTCTCATTCTCCCTCATTTCAACCACCTGCCCCACTTCTGGCAGGCAGTTTGCCTCCCTCCCATCCCTGGGTGCTGCTGCACTTCAGGAGCAGGAGGATCCTGCTGTCGAGCCCAACAGTCCCAAGTTGGGTATTGACCACTACTTCCACAACCTGGGCCTAGAAAAATATAAGAGAGTGAAAATGGAAAATATTTATTTCACAAGAATGTGATAACCCTTTGAGATGCCTGGGATGTCACTGGCGTTGCTGCACCAGAGTCAGGCTTGATGTTTAATGGCTTTAACAGCAAAAAGTCATTGCTGCAATTGTGCCTTTGTCTTTAAAGGTGTCCCGACGCCTGGGCAACGTGTTCTACATGATGAATGTCCCTCTGTCCATGCCCCTGCCTCCTGCTCCAGGGAAACCCTCAGAGCAGCCCTCTGACATGGCCTCCCCCCTGCACTGCAACAGCAGTGGTGACACCCTGGACAGTCCCTGCTCCCAGGACCCAGAAACCTCCCAAGCAGTGGAACAGATTGCTTCAGAAAGCAGGGAAAATCCATGTGACACAGCTGGATCCCAGGCTGAGTTCCAGATGATTGCTTTCCAGAAAACTTGAGCTAAGTCCAGGACATGACACGTTTTTAATAATCCAGGAACCTCAAGTTACAATGTGTTTGAGAAGAAGCTACAGCCTGAAACCTTTGTAAGGCTGGGACTGAAGGAAATAAGCTGCCAATGCAGCATGAGGAAGTGGTATATCTGAAAGGCATTCAGAAATGCAGCTACAGGTTAGTGCAATTACTTTCAAGTGCAATTCATTGAAAAGAATACCAGTAGAGTTAACAGGTAAATTGAACTTTTCACTGCAGTCCAAGGTTATCACTGAAAGCTGTCAGAGACTCGGAGTGCTCTGTATGTCTTACAGTGTGTTCCAGTGGTCAGCTGAGAAACTACATGGAAAAGTCACAGCTTCCAAACATAGTTGACTTCTGCTTCTCCTGAATAAAATTTATACAGAACATTCACAGGGAATTAATTGGGACAGTATGGAACTGCCTACAGGATATAGAGAAATATACCCCAGACTTGGCAATTTGAGTTAATCCATTGCTACTCCAGAACTAAGCCTAAGTGCCTGGCAAGGGTATACAGCTTATAAAGATACACAGATTGAACATGAAAATACCATGTGTGACAGCAGTTTTAATTATTCCAAGGCATTCTTATCACCAGGGCTGGAATTTGCATTTCGTGACTGCAAGCTGAGTTGAGTCACCAGCCTCTGCCACGAAGTCCAGTCACTGGGACAGTGACATTCACTGCAGGCAGCAGGCTCAAAGCCACCTGGCTCCTGGCAGCCTCTGCCAGAACACCCTTCCCATCGGCTCACCTGGGCAAGCCATGGAAAGCCCTTCCCTCAGCAGCATGTTCAGTGTTCTTCACTTTGGAAGAGACCATCAGTTTAGCCTGAGAGCCCTCTTTCCTCTGGAAAAATATGGTTTCCCTTCACTTTTGCTGCTGCTGAGTCATTATCTCACAGCAAACAAGGACATGAAATAGAGCTTTTAGCTAAGAACAAATCCCCAGGATTTACTATGACTCCTGTGTGACTTATCCTCCCTCCCTTTTTAGGGGTTTGGTCCTACACTGGTTTTCCACGCAGACTTTGGAAGTCAGTACAGTTCCACTCTCCTCCCTCAAGAACTCTCTTTACTCCAAAGGACCCACAAATATCTTTGACAAAATCAAGTTCTGTAAATTGAGGGTTGATAGATTGTGGACCTGCTCTATGTTGCTACTTTAGATTCCCTTCACTTAGTTTATTTTGTGTGGCCCCAAGTACTGAAATCCCAAGAGGTATGAAGCTGTTTAGATGGCTAAACACAAGGAGGGAAAGTATTTCCATATTCTATTATTTTACTTTAGTGAGAGATAAATTGTTTTATGTCTTTGATATATTTCTGCACTAGATAATGTGTGATTAGTTGTTTGCGACAGCAACCTCAGATGTCCATCTTACCTTACTGTCCAAACTTTGCAGCCTTTGGAAAAATGGCAAATATCTACATTCTTTTTAGCATATGAAACAATTTCTAACTTATCCGTTGTACAATTGACAATCATGTTGCCAGTTTCACTTGTCTGATTAAACAGAGTTAATAACTTGGTTTTCTAACGGCATCCTACCTCCTCTCTGTGTGAAATATTCTACTCAATCCACATGAGACCTCCACCCTGGCAGAGGAATCTCTGACACCGTTCAGGGGATCCAGGCCACGAGATGTCGCTGCAAAGCCACTCGGTCACCTGCAGTCCCTCCGAAGGGAAAAGCAGAACACCTGAAGTACCGGGGGCATGTTAAGGGCGATGATACGAAGAAACTTTACTTGTTTTTCTAAAGTAACAGCAGAAAAGCTTGACTTCAAGTTCCACATGCCAGGGAGGAAGGACTGAAAAGTCGTTCTGGAGAGTGTGATTGTTTTTGTAAATGGGTCAGTCACAAACAATTCCAAAAGCTGAGAAAGTTGGGATGCAAATTTGCAAATTTTGCTATTACTTCTGCAATTAAAAAAAAGCCCCACCAAACATACCATTCTTTACTCATACTGGGCTCTTCTTTCCAAAATGACAAAAGGAATTATTTCATAGCTTCCTGTACTGGGGGAGATGTGCTGCAGCAGCCAAAATGCAATAAGCCCTGAATGGTAAACAGCTGTGTAGTGAAATAGGAAGGAAAAGGATTTACCTAAACAGACATAATAGGTTCTATTTCTAATGGAGGAAATACCACTGGTAATGAATGTTTCCTACAAATGCTACAGAGAAAATTAAATAAAATGTAAAAATCATTTTAAAATACACAGAATCAGTAGACAGACCAATATTTCCAGAGACTGATACGTTTTCAGGAATTGTGTTTATATGTAAACATCAAGGCCTTACTGGTTCTCAAGTTCTTTTTGGACATTTACTGTTTATTCCAGCTGCAAGGAGGTTCAGGTAGCAATCACAAGTACCTATGAAAGCTGGCAGAACTCTGCTTCCCAATAACTTTCTGGTGCCTGTGCCACCACTGCATTCATTTTTTCTGCAATGTGACTAAAATCACAATGGGATACAGATGATGTGTTTTAATACATGTTGCATCATTGGAAATGTTTCATTTAACATCTATTACTGTATTAGTCCATAGCAGTGGTGCAGTTAATGAAGAAGGGAATGTTTTTTATGAGGTGTTGTAGAAGTTCCTGATTTTGTCTGTATCTACAGTAAATGTGTGGGCTCCTAGGGATAGAGACGTCCATTTTTAATTTTTTTTTTTCAATAGGGCCAGTATTAAAGATTAATAAAAAGGTACAAAAAACACATGGCAAAATGGTTCTGTATCATAAGTAACAGATTAGGAAAGTATTAAAGAGGAAGAAATTGCTTGTCCTTCCTACAACAACCTGGGTTTCTGGCCTCATGTAAGCTGCAGATGATGATGATGATGATGATGATGTGGATTACAAACTCACATGGACCTCTCTGATCAAATCATGGGTGACTCTCTGATCAATTTTCTATGTGAAGAATCTCTAAAAAATGCTATAAACATACAGAAGTCATGCAGAATTCCGGCTAGGTCCAAGTCAGGAAGTCACTTTAATCCAGGACACAAATAAAAGAACAGGCACATAAGTTCACAAGATGATGGTATTTCAAACTGACCCATACCCACGCCACCAGCTACTTTATAAAAGTTTATGTTCTAAGATCTTATACAATTGTGAATCCGCCACAGAACAGAATGTTAAATTAGCCTTTGAGTGTAAAAACAGGGAAAAAAAAACTGCTCTGGTTTTTAAAATCACCTCTAGTATTTAAACTCTCTAGAAATTTCTCATATGTTCAACTTTCCAATTACCCTTGTACAATGCTGATTGGTTGTGCAGTGTTTTGAGTCACCTTCAACATCAGAAACGTTATAGAAAATCATCCAAAAGTAGATATAGCTCTTGTTTTGGTACCTTGCCATGGTAATGTTCTACCTAAGTCCTTTATTATTCACTGGAAAATAACAAGTCTACTTTATGAGGCTGAGTGTTCATAGAATTACAGAATGGTTTGAGTTGAAAGGGACCTTAAAGATCATCCAGTTCCAAACCCCTGTGTTCATCAGGGTCCAGCTACCTCTCATGGTTGGTTTTGATTAGCTCTTCATGCTATAATAAATAGCTGTAGCTTTATTGCTATGGCAATTTCAGTATAATAATACATGCTATATTGAGAGAAAAGCTCACCTCTCCTTTCTCATTTGTTTAGGCTTTGGGGGGTTATTGCAGTTCCCAGGCTGTTTTCTTTCTTTGTGAAGGCTTTGCTCCTCCTATCACCTGTACTGAGGCCACAAGAACTACTCTGTTGATTTGACCCTTATGCTGTCCTTTCCTTTGTCCCATTCCCAAGTATACCCAAGTCTGTTTTTTTCCAGACAGATATTAGTTCTGCCACTATCCCCACACTCTTCTTGAACCACCAATTTCCCTGTGGGTAAGGATGCAAATCTTTAATTCAGCCCAGAGTAAAGAAGAACCTGTTGTCTGTGTTATATGGAGAATGATGCAGTATTTTCCCCTATAGCACAGCAAAGACATGAATAGACATTTTGATTTATCAAAATTTAAAACTACATATAGCATCTGTGTGTGCGAATTACTGACATAAAGATCAACTAACCAAAATGGCAAAACAGAAAAAGGACCGCTGACCAGGGAAAAAAAGAAAGCACAAAACTGACCTGGTTCTTTGCTGCAGCCTTGGCTCATCAGCCAGTCTTTGCTGATTATCTTTCAGTTCCAAGATTCCAACAGTTTTGCTAGAGGAGCACTGTGCAGCTGGGATCTGTGGGACTCCAGCAGTCCCTGAACACTCTGCACTGGAAGATGGTCTGTAAAGCACTCTCTGGCTTCTAGTTCAACCTGTTAAATGGAGGGATGTAAACTCAAGACTTGCATCCTTACATAAAAAAATATTTTTAACTCAAACACTTGTAGTCATAACAACAAATTTATGTTATAAAACAATAAAAGGTTTTATTAGATTTTTTTAATGCTATACCTTAAATATTACAATTCTTAGTGTCCCCTCCTGCCACTGGCAAAAGCAGAGATATAAGCAAGCCTTTTTATACAGACTTTTCCCCAAAACCTCAGTTGGTTCTTCCAGAAAATGTATTGATGTATTTTTCATTTATGTGTCCATGTACATCCTCACTGACTCCAGCATGGTCTGATTGATACTGGTCTTTAGAAAGAGTTGATGTGCCACCCCATATCAGGAAAGATGTATCCAGTTGCTGCTTAAATGAAATTATATTCTTACAAGGAACAAAGCTGGTATTAGAAATAGGTGCAAATAATTAAAAAGAAGCAAAGAAATTAGTTTTTAATTAAATTAGGATTTTTGTCAGCTACATGTCTCTAATAATTCTAGGTTGCATAAAAATGAAAAGAGTGGAAGTATTTAAGAACTTTCTTAGTGAAATATAATTATGGAGATTTGTCTAATAAACTTTTGTTGTTCTGCTAAATTAAAAGCTAAGTGGCTAACTAAATATTTATAAGCTTTTGAGATGGAAGTGACTCAGGATATGTCTACATTGGAATATGTTTCTGAGTTATGACTCATGTATTTGTAGGTGGATTTTATCTGAACCTTTCTTGACAATATGTGATGCTGTGCAGTACAAGGCCCATATTCTTTATATTCTGAGCCCATTCAGTGTTGAAGCTGACTGGATGAAAAGGGAGGTCACTCCAGAGCCCACAGTGTGCTACCATCTGTAGATAATTGAGGAAATAGCTCCTAACATATTGCTGGGGAATTGTCTTCCTCCCTCCCTCCCTCCCTCCCTCCCTCCCTTCCTTCCTTCCTTCC